TAGCCCCCCCCTGCCCCCCCCCCCCCCACAAAATCCGTCTATGTATTCGATTATGAATTGTATTCAATTTCAGAGTTTGTTGGTTAACCGAGTTAAGTTTGTGCCCGAGTCAAATATCCAAGTCACTGTTAAGCGGTCTTTGTAGTTTAATGACTTAGTACCCTAACCCTATTCCTAACCTTATTCGATTATGAATTTTTTTCAATTTCATTTACGTCTTTTTTTAACGTGACTCGGACGTTTGACTTGGGCTCAGAATTGACTCGGACTCAGATTTGACTTGGTAAATGGTTTACTTGGCTAAGGCCTGGTTGACCAGGCATTTGCGGTAGTAATCGTCGGTCTTTGTAAGTTCAATATAAAATGGATTTTGATTTCCAATGTCAACATATGGTCCAAAACTTATACATCTCACCGAAGATTTACTTTGTGTCCTTGTAAAAGGAAAATGTGCATGTCCTTGTAATTGAGTTGTAAATGGAAAAGTGTGCACTCGAAAATGCCATTTCCGACAATGTAGAGACTCCAAATTTCAAAACTCGGGCGTTTGACTCAGGCTCGGGACTGACTTGGACTCGGATTTGACTCGGTAAATGGATTTACTCGATTTGAGGGGGTGAATTTTCAATTTGAAGTGCTTGTGCTGATGGATCAACAATCAGAAGCCATTTGCCTTTATCACTGAATGTAGTAGCGGCTGCAATGATCGAGTGCAAAGTCTTGGAAAATATTAGTTCAACAAAAGAGGAATAAAAGGATCGAGAATATACACTATCAAATAGGCAAGTAAATTTCATTTTAAAATATATTTTATGACCTATTTTTACTATAACATATATAGAGGATATTACACGGCGGCACAAAGATACGACTTTTATCTTCGAGTGGTAAAAACAACATTTTACGAACGAGCGCAGGGAGTGAGTAAAATATTGTTTTTAACACGTGTTTTTAACACAAGTTCTGTTTAATATTATATAGTCCCAAGCCAGAAATTGTGAAATTTCACACTCAAAAGCAAATTGGAAAGTCATGTGATCGAGATCTTCACTAGTGAAGATATGGAAAATATCTCACTGTGTATTTTTCAGTATTTCACTCTCTACTATTTAATAAATTACTATACTGACCCTTGCAAGTTTGGCTCACCTGTGGGTACACTTGACAAAGTTGACAAAATTATAATTTATTATCATAATTATTATAATGTACCTAAAAAGCATGAAAGAAATGTAGCACCTGCTTTATTATTTTACTTCAAAGTGAGAGCACTTGTGCTCAATGGGTTAATCAGACTGCCCATTACAGTAAGTTGTATTCATCCGAAAGAGGTATTTTCCTTGTTCTTGAAACATGCTATGACACTAAATAAATGTTGGTTGATTTCAAGCAAATGCTGACAGACAACTTTCTTTTCAGGCTATTCAACAATGTGATCAAGGCACATGCTGTCTTCGAGTTTGAATCTGGGAGTGGAATACTGGAATTACAAGGGTACGCGTCAGTGTGAGTGTTTCTCTGGGTCAAATGGCCAAAATGGTTTGGACAAGGACCTGTTTTAAAATAGGGTCAGGGTTCGAGTGCAGGAAGGATTCAGGAAATTACTTATTGTACAAAAAATGTGAATGTTGTATGTATCCATGCATAATATTGTGTCAGATTAACAGCTGTAACACAGTGGGATCCGGCATGAGATGAATATCTACGGTGTTAACATTTACCCCGTATAAAGGCGATATAGAATAATTATGCAATACAAGTCAAGTCATATTGGACTGACAACACTGTGCCACTTGAATTTTACACAACACTGTCAACACACACACATACTAGTAGATTTGTACACCCAGAAGCAAATAAAATAACATTGTTGACAATGCAAAGAACAGTCTTCTTCGCTACAATGCTAAACGCACTTCAAACACTCGAACAATAAACAACACACACTGCTTGTCCAGCTTAATAACATAACACTATAATTTTCAATTCATATCAGTAGCCTGAATTGTTCAGCTATATAATTTCTCAGTACAAACTTACCGTAATTATCTCTTACACGATAACAAAAGGTCTTTATTAATCCATTTCTTTAAAATCTGGAATCTAAATAATATTTACTCGCGAAGAAATAAAAGACGTAAACAAAATGCTCTAAATTTGAATCAGCGTCTTCTCACCAAGCATATCACCGGGGCCGTAGGCACGGGATTAAATCCCCGAGGGGGAAAAGACCCTAGCTTGGAGCATTTGCCAAGACTGCCAAGGTTAGCACTATTTTCCATCCAACAAACCGCCGTATCGATTTTCTAAAGTCGTTTCTTTTTTGATTTTTTTATTAATTCGGTAAAGTAATAGTTAGGGTTGCGGTTAGGGGTTAAAGTAGGGCATAGAAATAATAGATATAGAATGCGTACTCCCTCTGGCGTACTCCTATCAAATAACTCAAAATCTATCCCCCAAACTACATATTAGACAACAAGACAAACGTTTTAAAGATGAAAACGTAGTTTTAGCTTTGTTTATACTTTGTAGTTTGCACTCCTAGTCAAATTCAACATGGCGGATTTATAAGGGCACGTGTCACAGAGTAGATAAGACATACAGAGACGTAACTGACCGTTTGTAAACACTGCGGAAGATTACGTTACATGTACCCACTTTTTTTCAGGCGACCGGGCGAAAAATGATCAACTGCGCGTGCTCAGCAAGTTTAAAGTGAGTCGTCATCAGGTCGTCATCCAATCAGATGCATGCATCTAGTAACTTGCTGAGCATGCGCACAAAAAAAGTGGGTACACTAGTTACGTCTCTGTATGTCTCTACTCTGTGGTAGAAGTGGAGACATGATTCGTGATCAGAGGATTCGTGATCAAGGCGCATTCCATATCTATTATTTCTATGGAGTAGGGGGTTTGAGTTAGTTGCATAGCCATTTAACACCTCTTCCATCTTCCAAAAATGACGTCAGGTCAGTTTGCTGGATGGAAAATAGTGCTAACCATTTGCCAAATTGTGAACCGCAGAACTCGACGGTATAGAGTGCTTTGGGACCAGGTAGCCGGTAGGCTCGGCTGCGAATCATACACGACAAATGCTACAAATCGCAGAGTGTAAACGCGTACCCTAAGCTGAGAAGTACAGATTACATGGCTGCAGAAGTTTGGGAGCCATGGAGTGACGCCACCCCAAACTCAGGAGTTTATACAGGTCAACTATAAATATCCTGTGAAAGCAAGTATTGCTATCTACATTTCTATAAACCTTGAGTTATTGTCACTTACATGTGCAGCTAGCTATCTAACTGGCCAGCAGTTATTTGGAGTTACTCAATGGCTAATAAGTCATGTGGTGGCAGTTGTCTAATCCTGCAGGCCATGGAGTAAATGGCTGCGCCGGCATAAATAAAGTGATTAGAGAGAAAAATAAAACGATTCTCATTTATTAAGTATAATAAATAATCCGCTAATTTTGTCCTCTTTATACAAAGACTACTAACAAAGTCGTTTATATGAATTCAATAACCTCGCAATACGTATTTTACAAGAGATACTAGAAGTATACAGACTATAATATACTGCGATATATCGGGCCGATTTTAGATTCGCATTAGCCATAATGATTATATACCTAGTAAGGGTATTCTAAACGTCAAACATTATTTGACAATATCATCAACTAATGACAATCAATGAGAAAAAATCCCAACTTATAAATCTGGACTTAATTCCTTTCAATCTTTTTCTATTTTAATTTTCTTGTTGAGCAAAAAAGGTTCAGTAGGTGTGTTTCTTTTTGGTGATTTACAGGATTGATCAAAGTTCATTTGTTCAGATGTAGACGAAGATGAAGGAAGTGCCCAGGGTCCGGCTGCTGTAAGAATAACATTATTGGAAGCACTTTCTGAACTCCTGTCTTGTGTAAACGAACAAGAAAACGTTTCAGACACGTGTTGAGGCGGGGTTTTATTTGAAGCAACGGAGGTTTCTTCAGAAGCATCACTCGGAGAATCGTAATTCATATACGGACCACCAGAAGACCAAGGTAAATCAATGGAAGGAACAGGTGAAACATGGTGGACATTTTGGCTTTGAGGAGAAGGCGAACTTCTGGTTTCGTGAATTTTTTTCAATGCTAACAATTTCTTTGTGGCTGGAAACAAATCCCGTGAACATTCTTCACCACTTTGTGATGTTGTTGGAGTTGTACCATCGTTCTGTGGCGAGCGACGTTGGTCTGTTTCATGTTGTGTACTGACTGCTAGTGCTGTACAGCTTTGAAATTCGGAGGAATTCCTACGATTCAAAGGAGCTATGCTTGCAACAGTCGCCTCAAACTGGTCATGAGATAGCTGTCGAGCAACCATACTGGTAGGAACTTCTTCCAGGGTAACCTCCGCTCTGATATCACGACTCTCGCTATCATGTTGCGCACTAATCGTAGTTCTGGTCTCACTTTTCGCGTTTTCTTTTTTCAGCATTCTCAATTCCATCTGCAATTGTTCCACATATTTATCACTATTCTGCAAAGCTTTCTTTAATTGTTGGTTTTCCTTTTCATATTGTTCCACCTTCGCTTTCAATCCAGTAATCGTGAATTTTTCATATCTAAGTAAAAATAGCATGAAATATTTTACTTTATTATATAAAGTATAGTGCTTTATAGAGATTTCGAGCACTGATAAAAGTGAGATTATTCATGATAATCTCACATGTGAAAATGATCGCTTTTCAATTATCGCTTTTCTGTAAAAATTATCGCTTTTCAAAGCTGTTCTTTATATAATAAACAGAAAAATACATGGGTGCTTGGAAATACCAGATTTATTTCTCGTGTTGAACATGATATCTCACTCGTTCGCTGCGCTCACTCGTGAGATATCATGTTCAACACTCGAAATAAATCTGGTATTTCCGCGCACCCATGTATTATTCTCTATGTAATATGCAGTAGTTTTATACATGCCTATTTTGCCTATTTTGTAGTTGGTAACGCATATCCGTTTCTGCATGTACAAGCCATGCATTTAAACCATGCAATATATACTTCACAAGTTGAATTCCTATCTAATAATATCAATTTATCCTATCTATTATTTATAATATTAATAATATGAATTACAGACAGTCAAGAGAATTATTCAATGATACCCATGATCTAATAAATCTACACTGAATATTTTTTTATTAAATAATACCAATTTCTACCTCTTTGGTGATTTAGTAAACATGGAATCTTCCTTCAACTTTGAAACTTCATTTTTCAAATCATCATTTTCTCGCTGCAACTGCTCTTTCTCCTGTGGGCCAAAATATGTAATAATGTTGACATGACACAATCTGCCCTCCAACATTCAAATGCAACTTCGGGCACATGCAGGGTCATGGAATGATATTCGCAAAAAAATTTGACACTTTTCATTTTGTTCACATTTTTTACAAAACCAACTTTTCCCTGAAAGAACGTAATATTCAGTAGAAATTAAAGAAATGACTAAATCGAAAAGTGAAACGCATGCCATGCTCATCTTTTACTATGTTTACGATGAATTTAGTCTAGTAGTCACAATATGGTGCTGTGTTGAAATTGAATCTGTTTTTTGAAAAACATTTACCAAAAAATTGGATCAAAGCATTGCTACTGATTCCTGAATACGAATCATTGTAAAAGTTCAATGACGCTGACAACTGTACCTGTTGAAGTTTAGTCATATCTCGTCGAACATCGTCATATGTGGTACTGATCTCCTGAAGTTTCTTGGTCAAGCTAGAGAGAGCTTCTATATTGCAAGTATTAGATGACAACAAAGGTCTTCCTCCTGTCGCTGCAATTGCTTGTTCTTTGGTTTTCAAATCTTTCTTCAATTTCTCGTTTTCTTGAGTCATGAGATTCAATTGACGACTGAGGTTTTCGACTTCTGTCTGTAAATGGTTAGAAACGTTTTAGATAGATAGATAGATAGATAGATAGATATAGATTGTTTAGATAGATTGTTTGTTTAATAAGATTAACACATAGCAGCCAATAAGGCTGAATTGCGTGCCAAATTTTACAAGACAAATGATTAAAATTAGTTATTCTATATTTACAGAAGTTTAAAATTACATTACAATTTATAATTCTATATTACAGAAGTTTAAAGTTACATTACAAATTAGCTATGAAACTAGTAAATTTCTAAAAAAATGTTAGCCAGTCTAAAACTGAATATCATGCAGAATCGATTGTCAGTTAATATTATTGATATGCCTTGCAGATGAAGGGAAAATAAGATACTTTCAATTGTGAATTGATAAAAGCTTCGTCGTCGTCGTTGTTGTTGTTGTTGTTGTTGTTGTTGTTGTTGTTGTTGTTGTTGTTGTTGTTGTTGTTGTTGTAGTTCTTGTTGCTGCTGTTGCTGTTGTTTTGTCGTGCCTTGGCTTGGGCTCAACTTCTTCGAAATTTCACAAACCTCGTACTCTCCTCCCAGCAATCCTAGTCTTGTTTTTCGAAGTTGCATTCTTGTTTGTAGGCTCAAGGTTTCATTATTCTCGTTACTTCCTGAAAATATGCACCAACAGTTTTGACTAAAACGTACATGGAAAACAGTCTGTTTAATGGTAAGGTTATTGTCTTTCACTGTACGTTTTCCAGAGTAAAGATCGAATTACGTTATGACCCTATGAGATCAGTGGTTATGATTTAGGAAGAATGGTCAAGTCGAAGACATAAATAAGACATATCGAAAACTTTAAGCCCTTTTCGCGAAACGTGAGTCCAAAAGCAACATACAGTATTTAAATTGATTTGTGAGAAAAATAGCTATTAACGGACCGCAAATTTGTCCAAAGTCAAAGAGAACACATTGCTGATATATTTTTCGTTTCTCTTGATGGACAATAGTCGCTGAAAATTTCAGCGACATTGTGCATCAAGAGAAACAGCCTGAAAAGTAATCACAACAATCACCAGCGCACGATTCATTATTTTCACGGTCTTCACCGGGAGAAGGAACTTAGCCAAATACTATAAAATATGCATATAATTCAAACTAACAAAAGTTCCTCACGTCCTACTCTATGCGACTATAGTTACAAATTAAACATTTTGATGGTTATTTGCGATAATAAATTCAAATTTTATATACAACATAATACTGTACGTGCAGTAAATATTGTTTTAAAAATTAAAGTCATTTTATCGATATTCCCACCAAGATCATTCGATATAAAACTAGAGGGCACTCAGAGACTGCATACCTCCGCCTACGCGCAAAATATTGAAGTAATCTATTGTTATTAGAATTTGAATGGCTGGTGCATATATTATGCACGTCCTAATTACGCATTCAATATAAGTTTTATTTAATTGACCGGGAAAAGCAAGACAAACTTTTATTATTTCTCATTCAATTTTTAACCAAATTCAACCAAATTTTAATCAGTTCTTCCTTAGCCGATGGGAAATGCACTCACAAAATTTCGTACGGATAAGTTTGGTATTTCTTGAGTTATCGTGCTCACAGACAAACACACACACACACATACACACACACACACACATACACACACACACACACACATACAAACCCAGATGATTACATAACCTCCTGGCGGAGGTAATAATTAATTCACAGGGACATTACGGCACTTCCACGTCGGCAACCAAGGTCCTTACAATAAAATTAAGTTTTTTGATTTTCTCCTATTATAATTTATTTCTCCTTTGTCGCTTGTTAGAAGAGTGCTTCCACTCTGACTCTGCCAAACACCTTTGTAGGTTCCATTATCAAGTCTCTCCAGTACCTGCAGTGGACCAATAAGATCATAGGCGTACGGGAAGGAAAAAATTAGGGGAGGGCAGAAAGAAATTTGCCCAACTTTTTCCCATTGTGCCCGGCTTGTCAAAAAAACTTTCCGAAAATTTTTTTGGAATATATTATAATTTATTATAACTTTTAAATTAATATTTTTCCTCCATTTTCGACTATTATATAGCATATATTTCCCCCAATATTGCGAAAACTTCTCCTATTTATTTTTATAATAAGCCAATATTGCCCAACTGTGAAGCGAATATTGCCCAACTGGCCTATAGTCCCCCCCCCCCCCATACACCTATGAATAAGACCATGGAACTTACATACACTGGAACTTTACAGCTATCTAGTGTTAACAAAACTAATGAGATTTATTTGAAGCAGGCAGTCTACCTACCTATGACTTTCCTATATGGATTGTCTTTGGTAATATCAACTCTACACGTAGGACAGCAACCATTGCCTTGCAGCCACACATCAAGACACACAGTACAGAATGCATGATTGTTTGGGCAAATTACAGGGTCTTTTACCTTCATGAGAAAAATGAACAATAAATTGATCTAATTATTTATAATATTTTCCCCTACCCCACCAAACTAATTGCACAATACTATTTGGAGAATGCAACTTCCATGAAATGGTGGAATTTCATTTGGTATAAAACTGCATGACTTATGCTTGTAAATTCCAGTAAAAACACAATTCCTTAACTTTAATTAATTACTGATTTCTATACATTTACTGAAGCACCAGGAAACATATTTTGAAAACAAATGCCAGCTACATTAAATAAAGGACAGCAAGATAAAAAGATTGCAAACAAGATTGCTTTCAGCAAGATGCATGTGTAGGGCCTGGCTCATGTCTCAAAATTTAGAGTCCTGTGAAGGGGAATATCAAATACACTGACTGTTTCTGTTTTTGAGAAAATGACAATTTTGCTAGCTATAGGCATTGGCAAACCTGTGCATCAAACAAGATGTTCTATGACTATAGAGCACTAAGTTGCTGGGGATATGCAACAATCAGATGAATAACATGGCCATATATAGGATTAAATATTAATAATGGTTGACAAACATACTGTATGTATCAAATGTCGAAAACTCAAATTTCATTAGGTTTTGAAGATTGCAAAACCTGCATGCTACCTTTGTGGAAAACCTGTTGTGCAACATGCTTCCCTTTATATGTCAAATTGTTCCTGATATAGGGTCACAGAAGTAAGATCTCGCAGACAGCCAGTACATAAAACAAGCACAGAAAGCCTAGGTAGAAAGTTGATTTGTGACTGGAAAAAAAAAACAGAGATAAACCAAGGGTGTGCCCTAGTGACTAATTAAAGGTGTGCACAGTAAGCCATCTGAGAGTTTCTCAAAAAGAATGCTGCACAATTACTGACCTCAGATGTATCTCATATTAGATTTGAAGGGGCAATATTCAGATTGGATCAGATAATGATTTTTGTGCCTAGGATATAATTCAGACCTGCCAGGGTGTTGTGAATAAATGAGCAAGTTAGATTACAATATTTTTCTGCATGCAATGCGAGCTGGCAGCAATCATCATGATCTCATGAAATCTGCAGCAGATATGATTTCTGAGTGGCATGTGTACTAGTTAGATACAATTAATTTGTTTTCACCAATTAGCCTTTCTTACAAAGGTCACAATCCGCCATTTGGGAGGTAACTGTCTGCTCTCGTGAAAGATTCTAGACATTAATTCAAACAGCGTGAAAAGCAACTTTTAAAAGTTGTAACTGTAAATTTACCATTGTACAAACAACTGTATAATACTAAAAAGTCACATTTCGTGGTGCGGAAACTCTCAAACGTGGGAGAGGCAGTACCCCCAAAATGGCAGATGGCCATGAGAAAGGCTAATTACTCAATTTTACTGGTTGTTACTACTAAAATAAAAATAAGTGGGCATTAGGAATACTTCCAATACTTCCTTGTTGTGTGAAAAACACAAGGAATGCAGGCGATTTTGTCAAATTGTCTTTGGGCGGTAGGGAGTCGCCAACTAAATGTGGGAGACTAATATGGTGGGTTTGAGATTGTACAATTCAGGTGGTATGTTGTACCCTAGGCTAGCTGACTCTCAATCTGCAGCTTTTTAGGTTTGAGGATTCTGAATGTCAGTTTCAGTAAACCTTTGGAATTCCCTGAGATTACGGCATGCACAAATTTACATTGTATCAAATATGGTAGATGATTTAACTATTCAGGGAGAGTATTGAGTAATTGATGGTTTAATAAAATACAAGTTAAATTTATAAACATTCACAATAAACATATTAAATGCATGGCTTATTCCAAATTATATAACATTTAAAATGGACATATACAAATAATTGACTACAAGGTTTAAACTCCTAATACTAAAAGAGTAAATCCATCTATGAAACACTATAAATTCGTTTTCCAGACAGTGTAACTGGATAGGGTCTGATTTGAGTGCAGGCCAACAAACATTTTATCTCCCTACACTGACATAAAAAACTTACTTTTCCAAGACATATTTGACATGAAATTGGTAGTGTCAGCGATAAGGTAGTCATAACACCACAAAGTACGTATATTATATAAAAGGTTTCTGACAAAAAACGGTCGACAACATTCAGTTTATTTCACGACCTTTCCTATGTTAATATTGTTAACCCCTTCCCAAAATTCCTTGCCCTTGCCCTTCATCGTGACCTTTGACATTGCAGAGAGCAGATTATAATAAGAGATGTTTATGGCACTGAAATGCTTTAATAAAATTGCGTTGCCGTTTGTCCAATTTACACATTTTTATTACATTCATATTCGAATTTACCCGCGCATAGAATTGATAGAAATAAGTAGCCAATGGATCAAATCTTTTTTGATTGGATATGCCCTCCCGTCAACAAGTCAATGGCACGAAAATCACCAAAAATGCAAAGTATGCGCACTTTGTTCTCGAACAGCTGGAGTGAAAATTACATAAAAATTCACTAGTGAGTCAGTATGTGTTTACTTTCTTACCCAAAGGCTTATTATGCTTTTCAGTTCTAGCGCTTTATATCTCGTGCGTTTTCTATCGGTTCTTCCAAAGAAAGTCTATACATAGTTTCTGACAATAGCCCAAAACCGCAAATGCGCAATGGCAATGACAATGTAAATATTGAATTGCATTTGAAGTTAGCCTACATCGAATTTTGGCCTTAGCCTGTGCAGCGCACTCCCGTGTGTTGGTGCGCAATGCGTTTAAGTTAAACACAGATTTAAAATATTTCAATGATAAAAATCATTTAATTAATAGTAAAGACAGTAAATCTATTTTTATACATGAGAAAAACCGAAGGAAAAAATGTGAGGGTCCTGAAGGGGTAAAATGGGAACTGTGATTTGCCAAATTTTAGACTGGAAATATGGGATTTCCGGATTTGGTTACTGGGACTGGGAATGAGTTGAATGACAGACACAAAAATGAGAATGGGAAAACCTGTGATGGGTGATTACCAGGGACGCCGGAACGATAAAAAGGCAAGGGGGCAAACGCACACCAAAGGGCACATATATGAACCTACAATAAGCAAACGCACTTAATCAGGTCACATTCAAGATCACACCTCATGATTTTCGCCCATGCAAAAAGCATCACTGGAAACGTGATTTATCAGGTAGTATTTTATAACTCAAAGGGCACTTCTGCCCCTCCCCCTTGCCCCTCCTAGCAAAAGGCAAGAGGGGCAGCTGCCCCTCCTGCCCCCCCCCCCAGTTCCGGCGTCCCTGGTGATTACCGTCATAAAAAACCCGTATAATATGATAAAGACAGTTACATTGTAACAAGTGTCCAACTACAGGAAACCGGCTCGATGAGGTCATCATATAGACATATTTTCCGCCTGCTGTTGCGAGCTTGGCCCGTCACAAGGGTGGTAAAAGGGGAGAGGATTTGTATTACGTTTCACATGAAGAAAAATAGCCATTTCACGTTTCACATGTTATAAAAATTAATCTAATTTCACAAAATGTTATTTTCTATCTTCAGTATTATTTTATGTATTATTGTATGCAGTAAAATTGTTATATGGCCAAAGGATTCTCTTCTTATAGTCGCGTTCACACTTCTAACTATACTCGTCCAGTCATTGTTCCACCGACTTCTAATAAATTGTCGTCAGTTGCATGCACAGTGGTTGCATGAGGTCAGAAAAAACTACCGGCAATCACGGCTCAAGTACGGCTAGGCATGTAAATCACGTTTCAGTCACCGGCAAAAAAATCCGTCATTTCACATTTCACCGCGTTTTCGTGAGCGCAAGCGACGTTTGACGGACGTCAACGGAAAATTGGTATCACTAATTCTGGCTGCATTTTGCCTCATTCGGTAGCATTTTGCCTCGTCACAAGGTAGCAAAAAATCTTATGTCTTGTCATATGTGTTGAAGATTACCACAAATTGACACAAACACAGTTTTTAATCCAGTCCCCTCTCGGCAATCTGACGTTCGTGTTGACAAAAACGTCGCTTGCTTTAAGCTCCCTATTGGCAATGCATTGTTCACGAAATACGTTTTACCGCCCTCCGAGGACTGAGTGTATTGCCTAGTAAGTCCATTTAATACCAGAAAATGCCAGGTATTATAGATCACTCCAAACCTTTAGTACTCGGCAAAAAGCGAGTAACGCAACATGAACGCAGGATGATGATCTTGGATTTTCTTTCAATTTCACAGTTGGGACAGGGAACCCCACTCCCCCCGCCCCTGGCTCCCCATCAGGACCCTCGTACTTCTTTATACAGAAGTTTGGAAAAACAAATTCATAATCAAATAGAAGATGCACGTCAGCGTTACGTGAAGCATACCTAATTTTAGTGTGCAGTGATAACCAATTTGTGCAGTGATAAAACTAAAATGTGCAGTGATAAAATGTAAAATGCGCAGTGATAAAATTTGCTGTGATAAGTTGTTAACAATTAACACGAAAATCCAGGCAATGAGCAGAAGAACTGAGCTAAAAATTCGTCTTGACACTCCTTGACAGTATTAATCAAAACATTTTGAATGAGAACAATTTGAATGAAATTGAAATGATAGCTGCCAAATCATCGAACGTGCACTAATATTACACTTCAGGTTTATCAGATGAACAAAGTCTCGCACCAAAGGTTCCTTTATGAGTCTGGATGATAAAGTGAATGATACTTATCTTTTTGTAATTAGTGTGTAATCTTCAGAATTCTATAGAATGTCTTCGCACATTGCATAAAATCCCCTTTTAGAGAGCCTAGATTACAAAATTTTCTGTGGGTGCATGCCCTTGGAACTCCTCTAGAGGTTTGTCAGTCCTAAGCTGTCTAAGCTGCCTCTCATTTGCCAATACGAAAATATTTCTTTCTTGCAAGTATGTGATTATGAAACTATGCCGTCTCAGATAGTTGAAACTATAGGTGCTGTCAAAGGGGGCAATTTTTCCTGGAGCCTTAGTTAAAGGAGGGCCGAAATAAAGAATTATGTAAAATATACATAGATATAACTGTCAAAAGACTTCCAGAATGCAGGATTTGACCATTTCTGGGACCTCAGATTTTAAAATTTTCCTGGGGAGAATGCCCCGGCCCCCCTAGTGATAGTGTTAGAAGATGGAATCATGTGGGGCACCAAGTCAAATTTGGCCCTGGGTACCCAAATATCCCTGGGCAACCCTACGTGTTGTGCAGTGTATGTTGGTTTTTGGCATTTTTTAATATCAATTGTAGCCTGTTTTGTGCATAGTAGTTACACATTGTGTGTGTTCAGAAATTTTCAGGGCGTGCTTCTGCTCGGCTAAACTTTGCGCAAAAATGTGCAGTGATAAAAAATTCTTAAAATTAGGTATGACGTGAAGTGAGCATTCGTTGCTGTAATATGGAATCTAATTAAGTTTTAATAGGCCAACAAAAAATGGCCTTCACACACAAAACGAACCCAAACGCAAGCAGCCAGGTTGAAGTATAGTTACAGGCAGGGACGTCGCTACTAGGGGTGTGTTTTTTTATTAAGTTCAAGAAGTTGGTCAAAATGGGAAATATTTGGTCAAAATAGTTGGTCACGAAATTATAAAATTAAGTAAAAAATGAAGGAAATATTAATTAGGGGTTGAGATGATCTGAGTTGGTCAAAACGTTCGCCAAAACCTGGTCAAAATATCAGCACACCGCCCCCTCCCCGCCCCCCCCCCCAATTAATGACTTCGCGACGTACGGCCCTGGTTACGGCGAGCCAGTGAAAGTGAGCAAAGGGAAAAGGTTGCATCTACCCGCATGTTGTCGAAAATCATGGTTTGTATCTTCGGCATCACGTTTTTCATGTTCCGTATTAACGTATACTCATTATCATTATTAAATTATTCCTTATAATTTTATCCAGGCGTCATTGTATTCGTTCCTCTAGAGGCTGCTCCATTTACTGTTTGGATTTTCGGAACACTCATTAAATCGAACCAATAATGGTCACATGACTGTTCTGACGGTCACATGACTGTTCTGGCTGCCCCTACTTTTGAGTAGGGGCAATCAGAACAGTCATGTGACCGTTTTCGGTTCGATTCAATTAGTGTTCCGAAAATCCGGAGTACTCCGAACAGTAAATGGAGCAGCCTCCTAGGCCTGATGATTGGCTGACTAGTTTAGTAGTTTAATTAGACCTAATTAGCCAATCAGCGTAGGCCAAAGCCAAAGCATAGCCTGGCCGCCTGGAGCCTATGCTTGTAGTATAAACACGACCTAAGAATTTTTGTACTATGTAAGTCGTCAGTTAACCGGCATTTAGACCCTCTTTTATTGAACCGTTTTGAACGGCCTGTTGAGCACTCCCCTGCCGACTTGTCCTGGCCATTGCCATTAATTTTGCGAACTCAGATCATTAAGGATCATCACTGGATCATAAAGACTATTTTATATTCCTATTTTATCCATCGTCATCCGACAGAATGCAATATGGCGGACGTAGAACAATGGTTTTTTGGCAAACTTGTTGCGTTTTCAGTCGTTCTGAAGTTATTACTTATCCCAACATAGTAAATACATTCTTTTATTATACTAAATTCGTAAAACTTAAGTTTGACACGTTTTTTGTGTGATTTATAATTATTTTACATGATAATGTACCTTGAAGCGTAAAGTCTGTCTTACATGTAGTTTGAAACATTAATTTACAGTTTTCTATTTTATTTTGTAGCCGCTCGACAGACTTTGAAGTTCATAGAAATTGGCTTGCCATAACTCATAGCTTACCAATTTCACAATGGTATTATGAGGCAAGTAGTAAGTGCAGTGTGTATTGTAAACAATATATTGCGTCAAATCTTACTGTTCCTCCACGTCGTTCTGCCATATTTTTAATTGTTTGCAGTGGAACGTGAACTCCAGTTATTCATTTCAATGGGGGGAAGGATATTAATTAGGAATAGCTGGTATAATTAATTAAATTGCATGAGCTTGCGAGCACCACTCACAGACCAGCATGGAAAGTTTTTACCATGCTGCAGAGATATTCGCCTCACAATTTTTTATGCATTCTATATAATTATTTACTATTAAATTTTCAAAATTCCCTGCATGCAATTTCCAAACTTTCCAGTCAGGCTCACAGACCCTTTCAAATTTGAGCAGGCATATTCTGAAACCCTGGCTCTTTAACAATACCAGTATATAATTACCTCATCCAATCTAATTAAAATAAAAGTCATATTTGGAAGTTTGAATTTTGCATCATTAAATTGCACGAGCTTGAAAGCGCTGCTCACTGGCACTTTTTGAATTTGTGCAGGCGCATTTTGAAATACAGCTGGCATGGTAACAGCTAACCTGAAGTTCAGGCCCTAATCACAGAATAGGGCCTGACACAAAACCTATCTAAAGTGTGGGATACCTTGAATTTTTAAATTTAATTATAAAGCAAAATGCACACTCTGCGGCAGCTTTCTTTTATTGTTACTACCAACATTGACACTGACCGTTTGAGTTAAAAAATATAAATGGCTCTTGAAAACCTTTTATAGAGATGCATGATGTCTAGACGTCTATCAATGACAATTAAAATGTATGATTGTTTATTAGAATAATGTTCATTTGGGTTACAATTCTTTGTACCTTCGAATTGAGAAATAAAAAGATTGACACCATATTTGCAGCAATACATTAGCAGAACTTCAGCCATCATTTTCTCTTTGGTGTACCATCTAAAACCTCATTTTAGCATTATTTTACAGGTAAAATGTTAAATAAATTATATACTTTTCAAGTTTGTTTGCCCATAATTTGAGAAATTTATCAAATATATATTTACAATTCTTGGTGTGTAATCAGAACTAAGTTGTATCTAATACCAGGGTTCGAATTAAATATTTAAAAGTGAATAGCGAATTTCTACCCATTGACTCGTGCAATAAAAAGTGAATAGCGAATTTCCACCACTGTACAGTAAAAAAGGTTGAGCATTCGATCTTCAACCAGGAAGGCTGTTATAATAATAAAGATTCAGCAGTCTTTATTTTTTTGGCAACAACGAGAGAAAACGAAGATGTAAAATTAAATCATTTCAATTTCCAATATCACCCGTAAAAATTTGCGCAATATCTAAAAGAGTTATTAAAATTAAAATGCATATTTATTCAAAGTTAGAGTAAATTAAAGTTAAATTAAATTAAACAAAATACTGTACATATAAAAGTAAACATGGCAAAGCTCAGAAGCAAAAAAAGAAACTGGCATACATCATACTACACATCATGAATTAAACTAGAAAGTTATTGAACATTTTGATTTGGGTTTTAAACATAGTAAGTGATTGTGAAATTCAAATCTGATTATAGTTGCATGAACGTAGCATGACATTTGACCTTTCCTAAGTGGATTTTGACACATTTTTATAATGTCAGCCTATCATATTAAAACATTAAATCAAAACACAGCTTGAGGCCATTAGAAAAGGCGCAATTTTATTGTCTATTCAGAAATATCAGCGCATATGAGAGAATGTTTCCCTCAAAATACACAAAGAATTGTTTGAAAACAAACGTTTCCAATGTTATCCGTTTTACTTTTTCACATGTGAAATCTTCTCAGGTTGAATAGTGATTTTTTTATATTACTGTATAGCAAAATGAGTAGCGATATCCCAAAAACGGATAGCGAATCGCGATTCGCTATCTGTTAATTCGAACCCTGTCTAATACTCTTGTTGGTTTTGAGTGTGTGTTAATGTAACATACAAAAACTATACTCTTAAGTTATTTGTTTCAATTTATTATGATTGTGGTTACTTTATTATTAGGACACTTCCCAGTGGACTCTAGATTACCCACCATTTTTTGCCTGGTTTGAGTTCCTTCTTTCCCAAGTTGCATCCTTAGTGGATCCAGAAATGACCAAAGTTGAAAATTTGGAATATGCTAGTTTGAAAACTGTTGTTTTTCAAAGGCTAAGTGTTATTGCAGCTGATATGATGCTTATATATGCCAGTTATCAGTAAGTTTCTTGGAATATATATTTCAGAGAAGTGAAGTTTCTGCACCAAGATTTATATTGTACAGGCATGAAGTTTTTTTGTATTAATACATAATTAATTAGTGCACTGCAACACTTTTCTAAAACAAATCTCCAATCTATTAATGCAGCTACTGGCTTTGGGATATTCCAATGTCAAAGTTTTAAAAAATGACAAATATCCTCCTGACCCATGCCAACTGACTGATGGCCACGCTGAATGTGTCGTATGAATGTTGGTGATCACTTTCAACATAATAATTACATAAAGTCATTTTGTTTTCATCTGCTCTTTTAGTTTTGATAGAAATGCAAAGAGTAGAGAGACTCAAAGATTAATAAACACATTTTTATTTAATTTTCAGCATTTTATGTATAATGAATTCAAAGTTGTATTGTGATATACATTCTGTGTTATTTTGTTCAGGTATTACTGTTATATCAACAACACAAAAAGTGACCATAAAAGCAAATCAGGTTTCAAGTTGGAGAATTTATGTAAATCACAATTTATCTGCGTTCTTCTTGTTCTAAATTTTGGCCTGGTCATAGTAGACCGTATCCTTTTGGAAGTAGTATGTACAGACTACAGAGTGTATAAAAAAACAGAGTCTACTCCCAAGCAAAATCATTTGATTTGAAAACCTGGCCGTCGTGATCAATTAAAATTGGCCTTGAATTTTGTCAATTAAAATACAATCAACACCTGCTGTTATATAGAGCAACTCTTAGTGATGTTATTTAATATAAAACACTGTCTAGTATAAAGTACGGTGACATATGGGTGCAAGCGTCAACCAGAACCATGCACTTTCGATGCCCTACTCCAGAAGTAACGTAATAAATCCATCGTTATATACGTTACTTCTTTAACACAACTTAGATATTCATTTTCAATATAATGGTTTTCTCTTTGGAATACTTATTCTGTCTATAACAAGAATGTTCGAGGTATGTACAGGATAAATCCATCACATATGTGACATCATGGATATTTGTTGGTAGATATACTGTGCATAATACAGTCGCACACTTCATAGATGAAACAGTAATTTTACGAGAAGGGGACTAACAATATTTAGTTCTAATTGGCAAACAACGATAAAATAAAGAACTTTAGATTCAACAATTTTGACTATATAATTATTAGCGTTCGAAGCAATCCTTAATTAAACATTTTGTGCTCAAATTTAAATGTTTGCAGGCCAGGTTTTGGATAGTAGTTTTGATAATAATTGCGACTTAGTTGTTTAGAATAGTTAATAAGCTATCTTTCAGTTCGATTTAATCACATATGAGAACATACATTTACCATTTATCTAGGATGAATTTCTTTGGTCAGCATTTTGGTTTTCCGTTCTTCTCAATTTCAAACACATCTATTTGTACATTGCTCCAGCTTACTTTGTTTACTTATTCAAACGTTATTGCTTCAACCAACATAACAGTAAGTCATATGTTATTTATTCCCTAGTAATGTGTAGTAATTTAGTAAATAATGAAATTATATTATTATTGTCGATTACACGGCGGGCACAATTGCCCAATTCACCCTGGACGGAAGCTCATGATACATATGGACATGCATTTCTAAGGAATTCGATACCGTTGACGCTAAGCTGTTGCGAAAACTCCGAAATTTTGCCTTTAAAAATTAATATCAGGACGCTTTCAACAGGTAACTGTCCACCGCCCAGTCCACGGTGCTACATACATCTACGTTCTTGCCGATCACATCTGGACTCCCACAAGACTCATTATTGGGTCTCTTCCTCTTTATTTACGTCAACGACTTACCTGACAACATATCCACGTCTACCGGGGTCGCTTTGTTTGCTGATGACACCAAGACGTGTTCAAAATCCTACAGTGATTTTTTATCCTTGCAAGAGGACATTCAAAGTCTTCAATCTTGCATGGGCAAATGATAACCGGCTACGTTTCAGTCATTCCAGTCGGTTCACACCAGTCGGTTCACAAAATTTGAGTTCGAGAAATTCTTTCCATTTTTCTACATTATAAGTACCCAAAGAAGCTATATACAGAAAAAAACTGGATACTAATAGCTGTTTTGCGAATTTAAGAGCAAATTTCAAATCTGTGCAGTTTTTTTTTATACACCCTGTAGTTTAAATTGTCCAAATATTTAGAAGCGTTATAACATTTTGAGTTTTGGTCTACATATCTTTTAAAATTTGCTCTCATTGGCTGTTTTATTAACTTTCAAAAACTTAAAAAATCGCGTCGCGTTGTCGAATCGCGTCCGGTGTGTCTGGACCTTTACTCGTCAAGGAGTTAAATCCGAAGAAATTAATTGCTATCTCAGAATCTTTCTGGATTTCGTGAGGGCCATTCTTGTGCCACTGCTGTCTTAAAATGAGTGAGAACTGGCTTATCGGTTTGGCCAACAAAAAGAAAACTGTTGCTACCGTCACTGTCGATCTAAGTAAAGCGTTTGACTGAATCATTGGTTGGACTATGACTTTTCAACCACGACAAAGAATTTGCTCCGTGAAAACTTGAAGGGTCGTCGTCAAAGGGTAAAGATTGATAATATTTCTATCGAATGGAGGATTGTTAAAGTTGGTGTGCTCCAAGGGTCATTATTGGGCCCGCTGTTCTTTAACATAATTATATTATATGAACAACCTGAACTACAGTGTTTTGAATGAAGGGCTTAAGAAAGCTCTGAAAGGGATACAACCACTGGAAAAATCAAGTAAATGGTAGTTGCATCAGGTTGTTGTATCCCTATCAATCCCAAGCTTTCCTGTTATTGGAACTACCAACACTGGCACAGACAGTTCAAAATTTATGGCTTAGACTATATATGTTAATGAGACTACTCATGGATACAATTCTGATACATCCTCTCTTGCTCTTCCAATTACGGCGAATATAGAGAATAATACATGAGTGCGCGAGAATACCAGATTTGAATGTTGAACATGATATCAACACGAGAAATAAATCTGGTATTTCGAAGCACCCATGTATTTTTCTGTTTATTATATAAAGGACAGTCTTTGAAAAGCGATAATTTTTACAGAAAAGCGATAATTGAAAAGCGATAATTTTCACATGTGAGATTATCATGAATAATCTCACATGTGAGATTATCACTTTATCAGTGCTAGAAATCTCTATAAAGCACTATACTTTATATAATAAAATAATTTATTATCTCTCAGTCAGCAATAAAAAGGCATATAGGCAATCATACTTGGCTCGTCAACGTATAATATGATGTCAAACCGACTCTCAAGATACTTGGAAAAATCAATTAATGCATGCACTGGCTATCAATCTCTTAAATCAAATTATTATAGCATTTTGCTAAAAACAAGATTGTTATGCTTATTCAGTTCGCATATTCGTTGCAAGTTTTTCAGTTGTTGTTTTTTTTTCCCGTTTCTTTATATTTAGATTCTCTCACGAATAATTGGTTTAGTGTTAATATTAGGAATATGTTACCTCTGCAATTTATGAAGCTTGGTTGTCTTGTAATAACCGTGTTTTCTGCTTCATTTGGACCTTTCATAGCAATGGTAAGTTTTTTGGATGTTTTGTAGTGGTTCTTAAACTTTCGCGTCTTATTGCAATAAATGTAAAATCTTTTAAAACCGGTATCTCCGAGATTAAAAAAGTTAAAGCTTTTTACAATAAACTTTATAAACCTTGGAGACTCTGGGCCGTTCTAAAAGATTTTAATATTTATGGTAAGTTTTATTTGTCACCATGCTACCCGTTATAGATGGTTAGGCATAACTTAGACTTACCACAAGTCCTCAGTAAAGGACTTTGCGAAAGTCCAGGCATTGCCACCACGTCCGATATTTGATGGTTTAATACCAGGGCGCTTATATATATAAGCGCCCTGTTTAATACCGTCTTATTTTATATGTAGTTTCAAATGATGAAAGGCATTCGCTTGGAGTTGAAACTTCGAAATGTTTTTAATCTTTTTCCGACTACTTTTTAATCTTTTTCTGCATCAGAGTTCCTTGTTTATTGGTTATCATATATATCTACACCCTCTATATCCTTGTAGATATTGTATGTTTTGACATGTATATTTGTTTAGGAACAGTTACGACAAGTTCTTCTACGTTTATTTCCGTTCAAACGTGGATTATGTCACGCATATTGGGCTCCAAACTTCTGGGCATTATATAATGTTCTTGATAAGCTCCTAGCAACTCTAGGTAAATAAACTTTTTTTAATAATTTGGAAAAATTTTGGATCCTTTGGAAAACAAAACAAATACATTTATCGCCATGCAAACCTACAAAAAACGTTATCAGGCTTCTTAGTGTCACGAATGCTCAAAATGATTGCTGTTTTCCCCTTTTCTAACATCCTTGAACAGCTTATTGGTTCGTCAATGTTGAACTAAATTAGCCTTTCTCACAAAGGTCAAAATCCGCCATTTGGGGGGGGGGGGGGCTGTCTGCATGCCCTTGTAAAAGATTCTAGACAATTCAAACAATGTGAAAAGCGAATTTTAAAAGTTGTAACAGTAAATTTACCATTATACAAACAACTATAATACTAATACTCGCATTTCGTGGTGCGGAGACTCTTAAACGTGGAAGAGGCAGTACCCCAAAAATGGCGGAAATCGGCCGTGAGAAAGGTAATTGAACGAGATCAATGTTGTCACTGCTTGTTTACAATATACTGATCGTTTCGTCTAGGAAATAAACTAGGTTTGATCAGTCCAGTTAATATGCGGTCAGCTTCAATGACAGGAGGTCTTGTTGGTCATTCCCAGCACACAGTTTTGCCTTCGATATCACCACTTGCCACCTTAATATCGACACTACTTGCAATGTTGGTAAGTAACAGACTGCATGGTTTTAGGATTCCGAGTATTACTCTGCTATCTGCGGGGTACCAGAATCCTAAATGTATGTCCGTGTTCTGAGTTTTTCTGTCCTGAATTTTGGTGTCACAAGCTAGCCTGTATTTTCACCATGCAGACACCCGTACAAAACGCAAGGGGGAGGGGTTAAACCAGGGCACCCCAACATCTTCAAAAGGTCGGTTGTTGTGTTACTGTTCCGAGCAGGGTTTTACAGCTTTGTTCCAAATAACTTGACTATATATTATAGGTCTTTTAAGTTCTTCTATATTGTGTTTATTTATATGGGTTTTACAAGCGTTTATATATAGTGTTTGTAAGAGGAAGACTTCAACAACATGACTCGTATCTTTTACGTAAATGTAATGGCCAGCCCGACGATTTAGTCCCGCTATGCAAATATTTTCGTGTTCATTGACTGTGAAAACAATCAATTTCTAAAGAAATGAATAATGATAATAATTTTGGTAATAGTGGCTTGGTCTGGCTTTGAACGTTTGTCTCACCACTATAAACCACATTCATGCCCTTTGTCGTATAGTTTGTGGTTAGGTGTTAGCCTGTAAAGCATTTGGTACACAGGCGTGGCTAACTAAAAGTTAAATCTAAAATACAATTTAGTAAATGTATTGCAGCAACAAATTTTCTTTCTTTCTTTTGATTTCTCTAGCCATGTCTAATATATCTATGGTTAAAACCATGTGACTCCAGGAGATTTTTAAAAGGCTTGGTGTTATGTGCTTATGGTTCATTTATGTTTGGTTGGCATGTGCACGAGAAGGCTGTTCTTTTAATAACAATTCCACTAAGGTAGATTTTTCCCAAACTGTTTGCAGGGTGTCCACGGTCCAAGTCCTTGAATTGGAAAAAAATTCCAGGACTGGAAAGTCTTTGAAAATTAGTAGAAGTCCTTGAAAGTCTTGGAATTACTGAATAAAGTGAATTATTTACGGCAAATCCCAGTTCTAGGTCCTTGAATTTACTGAAAAAGGGCCTTGAACGTCCTGGAAAAGTCCTTGAATTTCACCTTCACCAAAGGGTGGACACCCTGTGTTTGCATTGTTTGCACCGAACTGATAAGCTCTCTTTTTCATAATACCCAAGTTATAGTCCAAGTGTAAGTCAAGAGTTATACCATGTGACAATAAGCTACGATAGTTGCAAGGTTTACTCACTTCGTGACAAAGTGCCTTCATCTAATCGTCTTGCTAGAATACTACCTTCACTGGATCCCCGCGTTTGAGATATTTTCTCTGTCATTTCATCTGTATGTAACATGGGGTAACAAACAGCACTTGTTAACCCCTGTCATTGTAACTATACGATTCTTACCCTAGCGTATACCTGATCAAATTAACATAATAATCGTGCGTTATAATGACGCATTTAAAATTTCGCCATCAGCTCTCCTCCGCGGAGACAAAGGCTTTAAGATGCATGTGTGAAAAAAACTAAATTTTTTTGTTTTCGATTTTAGTCTTTTATCATTGGAAAGTCGTCTATATGGTCGGATTTTTATTATTGTGTCGACAGCTGGAAATCTGTCTTTATTTCCCTTGTTATTTCAACCTGCAGGTAAGTTTTCGTTGAAAAGGATGAGTTAGATCGGAGACCTAAGATTTCAAGTTAAGTCACCAACGACCACGTCCAACGACCACGCCCAATTTCTTAACTCTCCTGATGATATCTTTCAACTAAACATGGAGAATTAAATCTGCTGTCAAAACGTAAGAAATTGTGTGTGGTCATTAGCCTGCGTAGCGGCTCTCAGGGAAAGGAGAGCCTGCACGAGATTCACTGTTTTGCCATTTCCGCCCACTTAGCCTGCGGGCTACGCCCACTTTCAACAGATGTCAAAATTGGCCAATCACACAGATTGTTTATGTTTGCAAATTTACTTGTCAAAATGAAATAATATAGATTGCTTTATGTTCGCAAATTTCAAAACGAAATAATATACGGATGTCGGCCAAAGAAAATTGAAGTCTGTGGGAATAGTGCTAGGCCTAGGGCAATCTCCATTGTCGTCGCAAGTAGTTTGCAGTCCGTGAGCGAGAAAGCTACGAAAATCGTAGATATACGTACAAATATAATTTATAGTTTCGACAACGGTCAACCGTGATGTATTATTAAAATGTTAAAGTTTCGAGCGATGCAGGGTAGAGAAAGGTGTCTGAAGCCGTTACTGCAGGGAGAGCAAGTCCTGTTCATAACTAACATAAGCATTTACAGCAATTCTCTCCTGGCACAAAGTGAAAGAGACGCTGCTAACAGACAGCAATCCAACGAAGACACCACAGCCAATATATCAAAGTTCGTAAATACCTTTATTGTTCAACCGTAAATCGTGGCCTTTAAGCTCTTTTGAATGCAAAATTCAAATAAACACCTCACAATAATGCATCCGCCGTGTTTGTTCATAATTTTAGCATAAATTAGCATATTTTTTCATTTTGAACCAATCAGGTTTCTCGTCCTCTGGGAGAACGAGTAAATACGGCAAAGCGTGGGGTTTCGTGCAGGCTGTCCTTTCTCTGAGAGCCGCTCGTGGTTCGAACTTAATTCTCCGAAATCTTAATTCTTCCTTTATAACTCTTCTGTTAGTCATGCCCGTTTCCGTTTGTCCGGCCGTACGCAAGTTACGATGTGTAATGGCGCGGATTTGTCTTTTGTTTAGTCAGCTGTATCAATGTGTTGTAAATTTTTTCTTAGTTTCAAATCAATACTGTAAAAGAATTCCAATAATTCTCTATTATATATCTTCCGTTATTCCAGAAACGCCAATCAAAGTTATTCTGATGTTAATGTACACCTTGTTTACGTTTTGGGCTCTTACGAAAGTCTTGTGGTAAGTAGCGTAAGTACAATGTCCTAGAACTGCATGGAACAGGTTTTCAATGATATTCTACCCGTTGTATTGCTGCCAATTGGAAGGCTGTGGAGCTAAGGAAGGCTTGGGGGTATAGGGAAGGCAACGGAATGTTAGGCTATGAAATAGCGAAGGATTTCTATAAACTATAACAGTATAAATGATGCTTGGCTGGGTGCGGTTTGTTCGTATGTCGGGAATGTGCCGCTGCTTCGTACCACAATATTTCCGCTTTGATAATCAAAATCAGATTTTCCTTTTCTTCTCTGAAATTCCCAACAGCATTTTGTTTCACGAAAAATAACACCCGTTTACCCGCGCAATTTAGGTTGTCCTTGTTTCCATGATTGACAGTTTTTTATTCGTTGTTACAGTTCGTCAAGAAATAAAGAAAATCAACCTCTTCTTCGCTGGTACGAAAACGTTTATCTCTCTGGATTAGTTGTTCTGGAAATTTATAACTTATTTATTCATAATGCATTGGGATTTGCCATGAAATTTCCATTTCTGCCCTTACTACTCACGTCCGTGTACTGCGCTGTTGGGATATTGTGGTCATGGATATTATTTTATCATTCTGTTTTAACTGAGGACGAATATTTTAAAGTTGCTACTGACTAACACTCACTGGAATGGTAAGTGTACAAGGGTATATAAAAACCATTAGAGAGGTTCAGATTTGACTTCCGCTACTATTAACCAATCAGACGTGTTTAATCTACCTGATTGACCAATCAAATGCGTAGTGATTGTGAGAGGTAGAGGAAGTCAAATATGAACCTCTATTATGTATGAATAGACATAATCGGCTAGTGTATATAGTTCTTGCTTCCCACTTGACATTTTTGGATAACTCCCATGCCTGGTTAACACTGCTCTGATAATGAAGAATAGAATGAAACAAAGGAAACCAAGCCTTCAAATTATGTGAACGATTTGGATTGCAATGGGCTTAATATAATCACACACCGCAATGGACCTTATAACTAAAATTTTGATCTAGACAAAAATTTCATCACAGCTTGAAAGAGCATCACAAAATTAGTAATATTCCAAAGTTTCGTTGCGAAATGTTGTAAAATGCGGATAATATAGCCTTGGGAAATTTGCCGTTTTTCAGTCATTTTGTAATACGCATGGGAAATTGACAGCCAAATCGTGTGTTGGGGCTGTCAATTTCCCGTTTGTAATACAAAATGACTGAAAATTGCAAATTTCGCAGGGCTATATTATCCGCATTTTACAACATTTCGCAACGAAACTTCGGAATATTACTAATTTTGTGATGCTCTTTCAAGCTGGGATGAAATTTTTGTCTATACTTGTCTAGATCAAAATTTTAGTGATAAGGAGAAAGGTCCATTACGTTATACAGGGTGTATCAAAAAAAGCGCAATCCTCGACTGAAATGTAAATTGCTAAACAAATAATAGACGAAAACGTTAAAGTTTACATTCATTTTAAAGCGTAGCCATTCAGCTTTCTAACAGTGGGTTGTTTCTTAAATTTGACTCATTGGTTCGCGGCTAATAATACTTTACGTTATTGCGATTGGAGATTAAAAAAATTGAGATGGAATAACAAATCGTTCTCATGAAAATAACTTATTTTTTCATTAAAACAAAAAAATGTTGCATTTTGTTAAATGGATTGTAACAATAAGTATAATTACGGCTTTTCTTCCACTATTTTTAACTCAGTTTGAAACTTCAAATGCGATATAATTTTGGCTTGGACCATCTAAGCTGACTGACATCAACTTGCTATAATTTCTGTTTACATTACATCGCAATTCGATGACACTCTGGCTCAGACACCAGAATGTTTTGACGATTTTTAGCATTCGTTTAGGATTTTCAAACAACCTGGTCTCTTTTAAAATACTGTTAATTTGTTCTTACGTGGTTTTCCAGATGTAGTGACGACAACATTAAAGTTTAAAGAAGAAAATTCTAACATTTAAACCGACTAAACAATAACATAGTAAACTTGCATAATTAAACAGCAACTAAAAATGATAGGTTTTACTAAATCTTTTCCTGTGCAATTATTACTAGCATTGGAGACAAGGATAATAGTTTGTTTGAAAGAGAAAAGAGCAGGCTTTGAAGTAAGCCTAAAAGCGTTTAACTAGAAATAGTATTTCGAAAGTTATTAAGCACAAAAGATGAATTGCGTTTATTTTGATACACCCTGTATAACTATCGCGAAGGTCGTCGAAGGATGAAATTTCGTGAAAAACATAGAAACTAATTCAACGTTTCAAGCGAAGGCCCTTCGTCGGGAACGTTATGTGCTGACAATTTAAAGTAAAATAAATATTGAAAGAAATACTGAAATGTGCATTTTGACCATTGTAGTACCAAACGGATGCTTCCATTCCCCTGAGACAACGTGTCTTGTTTTCGTGTCAAAACATTCGGGAATGCGAGTACATTCCTACGCCTATTACTGCTAAAATGTCAAACTATTATTAGCTAATCTCAGAACAATTTCTCGTAGATCAATCAGATTCGCCATTTAAAAAATGTTGATTTCACCACGTTAGCAATGTAGTCGCATTCCTGAATGTACTGACAAGAAAACATGTCAAGTTTTCTCACGTGAGAGAATGTATCTTTTGATATATGAACTGCAAAAAACGCTGGCTTTTGGTTGGATCCAGACTTTATTTTAGTAACCAACTAGTTGATTTTGAATTAAAATTATTTCAAATAAATTCGAATAAACTCGAAATACAACCCACATGTATGTATTCGTTTTATTATTATGAGTATCAATGCCCCTTTAGGATAATGACGTAAACGCGATCCAGCCTAGAACATCCCTTGATACCATCTAGCTGTCATTGTCCTTATGTAGACATTTTAAAGATGCAGTATAATTAACTGAAAAGGAAAAAACCCAAGCCTGAAGCCTTAGTGCATAAAGCTATTACAACATATTCATTGCACAGAACAATAGCGGTTATCGATTCATGTCTCGCTATTTATGAATGCTAATCCTAACCCTAACCGCTGACCCTAACTCATAAACAGCGAGACATGAATCTATATCCAAAATGGCCATGTATTCATTACATGGGATTGTGGGCTCAGTCAAAAATTTTCGCGCGCTTTTTTGTTTTGCTTTACTTTGGTGTATTTCCAACAAAATAAGGCTGGGATTGTACGTTTAAAGTGTTTTTAATTTTCCTGAGTTACCTAATATTGTAGTAATTGTTTTGGGACCTTTTAACCTTTTATTCCGTCAGTGAATTAAAAACTTTGGCGCTTATCAGATCTTGAAATTATTTCGTAGTCCGTCTTATTAATAGAGAGGTTCAGATTTGACTTCCACTTCCTCTAGCACTACCTCTCACTGGCTTAGTAAACATCTGATTGGTTGATCGAATATATCAAACGCATCTGATTGGCTAATAATGGTAGCGGTAGTGGACGTCAAATCTGAACCTCACTAATATTCAGTACACGTCGGCATGTACAATCTACGCTTGTTCAGTTAACATGAGCAAGCTCGTCTTAGCTGTCCACTAGTATACAAGCCTTCATAGAAGGTGTAACTGTTCTAGTTTTTGTTAGAACTGTTCTCGCTCAAGCGAAATGCTTCTAAGAATTCATTAAAATCTATAAAACCATCTTGATTTATATCTAACGTTCTTGCTAGATCTTGAACATCTTGCTCTGACATACATTTTGTGTGTTCACATAAAATACGACAACATTCTTCAAATTCATCAAGGGAAACCATTCCTGAAACATAAGCAACAAATACATGCAGATTGCTGTTACAAAATATATTGTGTTTTAATTACGTGATTTAGTCCGAAATTGACCGGGTTTTTTTTTTCATCAACCCTGAAATTGTATTTCTTGTTTGGTTAATCTAAACTGGAGTGTTGAAAATTTAGATCGTTCTTTCATGGATTGCTTGCATTTATGTAAACCAGAACAACCGCGAAACATGTCTGATCTTACAAGACAGAGACGCAATCAAATAATAATTAATCAGTTTACTCATACCTGAATTGTTCTTATCCATAACTCTGAAGATAGTTTCAAATGTATTTCTGTGTCGGTACAAAGCTTCAATGAAATTTCCTTTCTATTCATAAAAATTAAAATGTTACAACTTGGAAAATTGTTCACTTGTTGCAAGAGAGCTCGATCCGAAATATTTAGTGTGTAATTCTTCCATGTTAGTTAATCGGCCCTCCCCGCCCCCAAGAAAAAACCGTATATGACACGCTATTAATATATTGCCTTGGACGTTTCTAACAGTTTTCAGTGACTATGTATGGATGGACTAAGGCACAGTAGGTTATACGCCCTTTCTGTGTGTTTTTTTTGTTCTGGACTCCCTCGACTGAAAACCTGGCTATGCCTCCGACAGCAGTAGCTTCTGACCAGGGCGCTCATATATAAACGCTCTGCTTTTGCCTCGTGTATATTTTGGTCTGTTTTCACTTAATGACATTGTCTGCTTGTGACAGTGTAGTCGTCTAATATTTTAGTAACTAAATCGATGTATATTCTCCTGTTGACAACACCTCCCTGTCTTGTTGCACTTACACCCTGTATCTTATATACCTTGGAAAACATGGCCTCGATCTGGTATTGATCAAGACAAGATTCATAATCCACTTTCCCATCTTTTATTCCTACTGAGATCTGCTTACGTATCATACTCCATGGCAGGCATATTTCTAATACTCTTTCCATGACATTCGTCCATTCCAGAACTGTTATTAGGCCTGCAGCAGATAAACAATGGTAAATTGTTTGATGGAATATTGAATGGAATATTCTGTGTTGAGACTTTCATATGTTACTTTTTTGCTCTGATTTCATAAAGCTTAATTCGCTATGACTAGGGTTTACTCTTCATTGTTGCGGCTACATTAGGTTGTCTTTTTTTACCTTGAGCGGAAGCTTCTTGCAAACGTGTATAGATCATGCAATGTAATGTTTGTTTAATAAAACTTGGTGTTCTAATGGAGATGATCACTTGTTGAAAATTAATTTCCAAATGTCTCAACCGTGAATCTAACCCAATGTCTCTGGTACCAGCGCTCTTACCACTAGGGATATCCAATTGAGACACTAGGAATTGTCCTATGCATAACTTCCATACCAGAACTAACATTTTACCTGTATGTTCAGTGTCATATTTTCTAAATTCTTGAAGAAGAGAATCTTTTTGTGAAAATATCAGTTTTCTCAACTCGCGAAGTGCAGACTCTTCAACCCTGCTGATCCTAGAAATTGAATATTTAAATTTATATTCGATGGGTTTGATTTCGTGAGGAAAAGTGGGTTTAGTGGTATACTTCCGTTCAGAGTAAAATATGTCATTGCGGTTGCTTTTTGATTTATCAAGGGGAACGGATTTCCTGATATGCGGTTGGCATGCAATAAAGAAGAAACAAGATTTTGTGCAAATTAGAACACCATTTTGCGAATAAGAAGAACAATTGTAGAGGCAGAGCGATGTTATTGAAATGTATTCGCAGGTAATGTATGAATTTCTTCCAACCAGGAACGCAACAACACAGTAATAATAAGAATACTTTATTGATCCATCTTAAGCTTAAGAAAAATACAATTGATTTACATTAAGAATATTAATACAAACTGTATTTTACAATGTTATTAAATAGAACTAAACTACACTTTTAATAAAAGTATACCATGCACTACAGTAGTTTAAAATTAGAGAGTAATGACATTGCCCTGCATGGGTATAAATTATTGTTTATGCCTTTCAATACGAGAAATAGTTGATGTGCCATGCTGTCAATAAGATCGTAGGCTGTAATTGTGATTCAAAGACAATGGAATATATTTGTTATTTGGGTTAGAATTCAATCACAGTTAATAAATCTCTTCTTTCTTCAGAGAGGAAAGCGTGTTTTTTGGAAGCCCAGTTATCTGGTTCATTTCGAGGGTGAGATCTTACCGGCTCTCTGACAACTCCGCCCAAGGAAACTCCATGCAGAAAAAGTTTTGTGGGACGAGGGAGGGATCTGGGGATTTCGAGAAGACGTATGATCAGAATCTCTTGTGCTATTTTCTACACCAAGAAACGAATGTCGAGTAAGATAAACATTAAATTAATTATGTACCTACTTACCGTTCAACAAAGTTAAATTTCTTCATACATTGCATTCCAGTGTACTCAACAAAATATGGTTTGAGGTTTGGTAAAATTTTCATGTATGCTCCTTTATTACTGCCTTTCTCGTAGTAGTCGGACGCAGAGAATACAGTGAGCACCTAGAGCAAAAAATAGCTAGTTCATTTCAGTCCGTCGTAATATCGGGGTGTTTATTAGAGATAAGTTTATTAAAGAAGGACGTTTATTTACATATTAGAACCTCGAAGACAATATACACACGATTTCACACAAATGTTCGATTCACACAATGTATTTTTTACGTTCTCGATATGAGATCATCTTTTCAAGAGTTAATAGAAATGAGTTAGGAGTTAGCCAAGGAACAAATTACAGTACATCTTCTCGAATGAGGAAGCGTTTCACTTTATTAGAGAGAGGCGTTAATTAAAGAGTGCGTTTATTGGAGAAAAGCTTTTATTATGGAGAGCCGTCTGTTGGAGAGGAGTGTTTATTAGAGGTGCATCAAGCATCGCAGACGTGATAACTAACAGAATGTGGTTCTATATACTCACCTTGCCACCGTGTGTTGAGTCATGTCCTTCAAGACAACATTCGTGTGATCTAACAATGAGTTTTAGACCATGGCGTTCCAGTACTTTCTTTGTTACATCTGGTCCAAAATAACATCCCCCACCACGATATGAGTTCACTGTACAGCCAGGTTTTGATAATGGATCACTCCATAACAAGTCCAGTACCTAGGAAAACCAAGTGTTATTGATGGCTGTTTCTAAGTACACAACGCAAGTAGACGTATACTCTCAGATTTACTACAAGCCTGGTTTTGAGTTTATCTATTTTCTTAATAAGAAAATCCTGGAAAGCAAATGAAAGCTGCAATAGGCAATTCCAGCTTTTAGTTTATGCATGCAGGGAATGATGGGAAGTAAGGTATCATATTAAAAATAAAAATGGTGGCCATGTAAACACGGAGTGATAGCTTATACTTGTAAATATTAAATATTTCGGTTGTTTCGGCAGTTTTTATTGAAATTTTTAATCAGCAATATGATACCTTACTTCCCATCATCCCCTGCACGCATAAACTAAAAGCTGGAATTGCCTATTGCAAAGCTGATTATACCTGCACGTTTTGTTACGGGTCGGCGCAAATTTGTTGCTGATTGGCTAAGGCACAAACAAACAAACAAACAAACAAACAAACAAACAAACAAACAAACAAACAAACAAACAAACAAACAAACAAACAAACAAACAAACAAACAAACAAACAAACAAACAAACAAACAAACAAACAAACAAACAAACAAACAAACAAACAAACAAACAAACAAACAAACAAACAAACAAACAAACAAACAAACAAACAAACAAACCTACTCGCACAATTGTATGATATCCTGATAATATACATGTTAGCACGTAAATTTCCAAGAAAAACAACAGTTAACTAAAAAAGGATAACTTTAATTTTGTAAACATACTTGTCTCCACTCGTCGTAGTCAATGTTGTCGCGGTTTGTTGCAAGAAAATCTGGCTTTAGTACTGAAGTATACTAAAATATAAATATACTATAGGATAAATAACTAAAAGGTGTATATTAATATGTCTCTGTAAAAATATATAACCAAAAGTGTGTTAATTCCTGCAATATACTCTAAGTACCTCCAGATTGATTCTACGGAACACTACAAGTTTTCTCCGAGTTTGGGGCGATGAAAGATGCCCCCTCACCAAACTTCTAGGGAAAACATGCAGTCCAGAAATAAACATGGCTAGCTTAATTTTTTTAACTGAATTTAAACCTTATTTCATATAGACATTTGTATACCTTATGTCTGTTAATGTTATCCACATACTGAAGGTCAGTAATGTCTGAGACTCCGCCATGTACAACAAGAATCTCATTATCAACAACAGTAGCCAATGTCAGCCATGAAAATACATCTTCCACCACCCTGATTATCTTGCTGGCATGACTCTGGAAATGTAATAGAATAACAATTTTTAAGGTTTTTTCTTAAATTATAGTAATGTAAACTGAGCGTGATCAAATTCACAAAATTTCAGATATTTTACTTTGTACTTTTTTATGACCTCTTTGGAGAATCCATACCTAAAAGAAGAATTTAGTTTAATGTATTTTATTCTTGTGATATATTAGGCCAAAATCTGATGGCCACGCACACTAACCACTGTGCATATTCCATAACAATAGCAATTAGTAATGTAAAAAAAGCTTTCTGTATTCTTTGAAGAAGCTCATAAATCAGTGATTTTTATGAAAGATGTATGCAAACAGCAAGAGACATTGATTTTGCCAGTGCGGAAAGGATTATTGATTTTTTCTTTCTTTTTTGGGGGGAGGGGTGCTGGAATATTGGGGAATGCCCAAGTATCTACTGTAATATAATAAAATGGAAGATGTTATATTGAAATTACTTAGGAGACAAGGAAGAATTCTGTAAGAGTAGTCTGTAAAGAAGAACTCGTATATATAGTTTAGTGTAATACTGAGGGCCACTAGTTTATCGGTCTATGCAGACTGTGTTTTTTGCTCTCATGAAATAAAGTTTTACATTTACAGCATGGAGCACGTGGAAGGACAACAAGGGATGAGATGGGTGTGATGGAATTAACAAGATCAGATTGGAATATATTGAATGGATGCAAGAGATGATACACGGTGACGTGGGTACGACGAAGATGGCGACATGGTGACGATGCACAAGAAGGCCCGACATCTAAACCCTAACTATAGTCAATAGCATAAGAAAGTTTGGAAATTAGACCTCATTGTGCAAGAAATGGACGGTTCATCGTCACGTGTATATTGTATTTTCTCCAGAGCAATCAATAGCTATGTTTTCATTTAACCATTGCGTAATATCACGACTGGGTAAGTAAACCAACACGCATAAACCAAGACAAAAACATAGATAATGAGGTTTATTATGTCTGCATGGAGTAGCCTAACCTTCTTCATATTCTATTGACTATGCCTTAACTGATGGGGAAAAGTGAAGGAATGGGAAAAATAATTATCCATGCAGTGTAATATATACACATGGAGTGAATTACCTTGAGTTCATGATATGATCTTCATGGTTGCCTCTATTTATGAAAACATGATTGGGATATAGAAGAAAGAATGCAAAGATAACAAGAATAATTTCGATTGAACATGGACCGCGGTCAACCAAATCTCCATTAAATATGTAAGGATTGTCACACGAAGGAGCACTATTCTAAAATAAACAATAGATGAGATTTATGGCAGCAAGAACAAACATGACATTGAAAGTTTACTGTTCAGTCATATATATAGGAATTGCACTTTTAGAGAAACAAACATGACAAAATAACTATTTCATTGTCCTGTTCAAACATGAGATAAACATAAAGATACAATTGGTCGATATTAAGGGTTTTTGTAAAGGATGCATCATTAGCAAAAATAGGAAGCACGTTAAACGAAATTGGTTTAACGTTAAACGAAAGTAGTTAAGTTCTGTTATAGACATTTGAAGAATGCAACGCATAAATGAAGATAATTTTATATGTTCATGTTGAAGCTCTTAAAACGTCTTTCTTTTTTATCGAAGGAAAGAACGAAGCACAGCATAATATCCATTATTTTCTATCATGAAATCATTTTGAGCCATATTTATGATAAGTGCAGTGATTAATATATGACGGCAATTATTACCTTTTCGAAAATGATCATTAAATCCTCATAACTTCCATGTAAATCACCTATGAAATCAAACACTGTTGAATAATGTAATTGGGAATGTCTGGACAACTAACCACTTGGAAATAGTGGAAGAATCCTGCATCTCGAAAATACTACTCAGTAATAGTTCAGATCGAAGCCGCGGTCGCCCCTTTTCCCATGCACGATATATCAGGGCTTCCTTTTCCCAGGTTGGTACTGCATGTACCCATCCTACATAGCGTGGGGGGGGGCAGCAGAGGCACAGCGAGGAGAGGAGCAATTGCCATCCTGAGAAAATACAACTTATGATTTTTATAATAATATTACGGTTAATCGTTGGTTATATATAGGTACTTATTTCAGCATATTGGTCTTACCCCTTGGGGAAAAATCCTGCGTACGGCCCTGCATGCATGTATCATTTCACATGCTGAAGCTAAGGCCCTTCCCATTAACACGGTCAATACGATCCAATTGTTGAATGGAACACAAATCGATTGCGCTTCGCCTTCGGACCGATCTGACCGGAATATTTGGAACAAATTTAATAGAAGGCCATTTTCGCTAGATATTTGAGAAACCTGGGCCAGCTCTTGCCATTAATACTAACTATAAATTTAAAGTAACTTATCGTCGAAACTTTGAAGAAACAACATTTTTCAATACATGTAGTCACATTTGTTTTGTGCTAGTACAATGAAGTTATATTAAGAATATTTGGAATAAATATCGTCTATATCTTACCACAAATAGTAATTTGGTTTGTGATCGAAGTTGTTGTCTTTCTGACATTCGGGAAATCTCGAAGTTTATTTCTTGTCTCGTGTAAAATTAGTAAGGCATATTTCACATGAAGAGTCTTAAAATAGAAAAAAATATATTCATATATAGGTTTAGTTCTCTATTGCAGGAGTTTTGTAGATGGAAATTTCGAGTGTGAATTTATTTTTTTAGACCTAACCAGGAGCGGTTGCGAAAAATGCAACTATATAAACCCCCTGGCAGGAATCGAACCTGCGGCCCTGTGATTCCGGTGCAGTGCTCGAACCAACTGTCTAGCCAGTTGTGAGCTTTAACCGCAAGTCTATGTACATTTACATGCATGGTGCATCAATATGAACGATGAGATCGACCTTAGAAATCAAGCTATTGTTGTTTAGCACAAGATTTTATACTCTTGCCTGAAATTTAAAATCGTATGACATGCGCACAGTTTTAGGAAACATCCAAAGACTGAAAAGAACTTTTAATCAAGCGCTATAAAAGCGATTAGAAAACATTTCTATCGCTATTTCTATCGCTAGTAAAGCGATTAGAAAACATTTATTGATTGGAAGAATAGATAAAACCTCAAGTTCTAATCGTATGAAGGAGCATAACTGCATAAAAAATTGTCAAATTACTAACTATAGTCATATCACTTCTACATGGATTCTGTTTTACGCACCTGTCACTCCTGTGGGTTCAGCATAGTGCTATACAGTTCAAATTCCGACAATAGCTTCATTTCTAAAGGTCTCGTTCTTTTTGATACACCCTGTATACTAAGGTGATGCCAATGTATATAGGTGTATGGGTAAATATCAGGATTTTGGGCAACTATACACTCGATAGAACTATAATAGCTATAGAAGGTTTTGTACATGGAAATTTCGAGTGAATTTTATAAATGTCTAATAAATTTTTTTCTGTGTTGGTGTAGTGTACTCAGGTGAATATGATATTTGTGGTGTTACTCTGAGTGTATATCCACACCGGGCGAGCTTGAAAAATAT